AGGGGTGTTCCTACCGACACTTCTGATGTCTGTGGGAGACAGATGAAGCCTGGAGTCCCAAGGGGCATGTGGAACTTTGGGAATTTCTAAGCATGGCCCTATGACCTAGGCTGAGGGCCAAATGGGGCATCCCTCCCTCTGTGCTGAGGCTCTTAGTCCTGTCTTTATGGGAAGCCTGAGAGGTCAGGCACCAGCTGCACAGAGGACCAAGGACCCCTTTTCTCGGGTTCTGGACTCAGCCCTGATCTGACCACTCACTCTTCCCACTGTGTCTGTGAGGCACACAAGTATTTCCCAACTCTCATGGATAGCAGCGGAAGCTTCCAGAGAAGGGCTCTTTTGCCCTCTTGTGGTCACATCACTGAGGTGAGTTGCAGTGAGCTCCCTGCTCTCCAGGCATCCTGAAGTTACCATCAACAGCACAAAGGAATAAAAGGAGGCTGCTTCCAGCCTTCATCCCAGTCTGGCCATTGGGTGGGATAGGCAAGGGTGACACTGAACTTCTGATCCTCCCGCCTCCATCTCCAAAGTGCTAGGGTTACATAATGCTCCCCCACACCCTGTCTCATGCAGCCCTGAGACGGAACCCAGACCTCAAGGGTTGAGAATATCTCTAGTCCTCCCACGATGGAGGACTAGACACTAAACCATCAAGGTTCCCTTATGAAAACAGCTAGTCTGCAGAGTGAAAGAGGATGTCCTTCCTCACCTAGCCTTCATCTAAGGCACTGAGCATGTGTGAGAAAAATAAATGCAGAAAAGGGAGAGATACAAATGGGACTGACAGATTGGCAGGACTTATATAAGTGTCCTATAAAGGGTCACGGGCCTTGTCTTGGGATTATGATTGCTGTGACGAAACACCATGACCAAAAGTAACTTGAGGAGGAAAGGGTTTATTTGGCTTACACTTCCCTATCGCTGTTCATCACAGAAAGAAGTCAGGACAGGAACTCAAACAGGACAGGAATCTAGAGGCAGGAGCTGATGCAGAGGCCATGGAGGGTGCTGCTGCTTACTGGCTTGCTCAGCCTGCTTTCTTATGGAACCCACGGCCACCTGCCCAGGGGTGGCACCATCCACAATGGGCCAGGCCCTCCCCCATTAACTACTAAATAATACAACGCACAGTCCTATGACCCAGGACTTTTTGAGGTCCTTCCTCAGCACACTGGCCCTGTTTCCAGTATCAGGAGTGCTTTTCCCTGTCTTAATAAATTTCCCTGTGTCTAACTATGTGTCCCAGTGCAGTCCTTTGCCTTTGGACACAACAGTTTGGAATGGGATGACCTCCAAACTCAGACTAAGCAGACTAGGCATGCTTTTTCTTTTCTTTGTCTCTTTATCAAATTCAAGTCAAAAGCCTAAGCATGATTTTCCCCAAGACCCTGCCCCCCACCCCAACCCCCTCTTCTCTAGCCCTAACCACCTTCCCAGCATGCAGCTGCCTGCCAACCTCCAGCGCAGAAGACACACATTTCTCTCTTCCTCTTCCCCTCTCCCTCCTCTGCGAAGCCACGATTTTAAGCTTACCTGTCCTGTTATTTTTTCTCTCAAACCCCAATAAAATCATTCAAGCTTCCTCCAGGCCCATTTTAAAACTTGTATCCACGAGACTAAGAACTCAAAAGGGGGCCTCAGTCTCCCCTATAACACCTGGGCTTTCTGTCTTAATGAGAACCCAAATTTCTCAAGGGTATAATAATTCATGGGGCACAAAAATAAACTCCCCAAGGCAAAGGAGGCTGGGAGCATTAAAAAAGAGGAAATGGAGACACACATCAACATGGATAGCCTCTACACATCCTCTCTGTTCTGGGAAGAAACAGGCACAGGACTATGGAGGGTCCCTGAATGGGAAAGGCAGGGCCAGACCATCTGTCCCAGAATCATGGGACTTTGGAGTGGACTCCGGCCTTGTTGGTGGTGATGTGGGGGTCAGGTCATCCCCCACATATAGGCACAGGGCTATTTTTCACAAGGGGTCCCAAGAGCCACCTGCTGTAAGAATGGAGGATTGCACTGTGAATGGGAATGGGTTCTTGGGTGAACCCAAAGAGCCAGGATCCCCAAGTATTAGAGGCAGAGCCATCATCACTCTGCCCTACTCACCAACCATGGTCAGCCAGGCTCCCAGTCTTGGTTTGGGGGGCATTCCTCACATGCCAGTGCCAGGCAGCAGGAGAGTGCGTCCCACGGCCCTAGCTCAGATCTTCAGAGCAGTGTTTGTTCCAGAATTAGCTGCTCCTCTGCAGTGAGCCGGCCCAGGCAGGAGAACCTGGAAGTGGAGCTACTGGCATCTGGGTCAGGGTATTTCCAGGTTCTTGGCCTCTTAGTCTAGGAAGTGAAATAAAAGGCCATGTCGGTTTACAAAAAAATAACAAGGAAAGTATTTAAAGCAAAGTGATGTCCGTGCATTCAAATCCAATTCAAGCCAGATTGGTGCTCTCAACTTCCTCACACCAAGGTGTACTAGAAATACATATAAATAGTGTTGTAATGATCTAGAGAGATGGCTCAGCCATTAAAGGCTAGGCTTACAACAAAGAAATGCAAATAGTTAATTTTCTTTGGCTGTGATAAGACACTGTGAATGAGGTAACTCATAAAAGAATGAGTGTGTTTGGGGATGATGGTTTCACAGTGTTTGATTCCATGACTACCATGGCAGAGGGCAAGGCAGCAGGTAGGAAGGCATGGTGCAGGAGCAATAGCTGGGAGCTAACATTTGATCCACAAAAACCCCAAACAAAACAAAACAAAAAAAGAAGTAGAGAGAGCCAACTTGAACGGCATAGGCTTTTGAAACCTCAAAGCCCACCCCAGTGACACATCTTCTTCAACAAGGCCACAAGAAACTTGCTGTGCTCAACTTGAAGGCCACAGCTCCACCCCTAACCCCAGAAAATACCAGGAAGACCATCCTATATGCTCCACCCTCTCTGCCTTGGGAGCTGCTGCAGATTACTGAGCCAAGTATTAAAACATATGAGCCTATGGGGTCCATTGCCATTCAAACCACCACAGTTATAAACTGTTGGGGAGGGGTCATTGAGAGAAACTTATCCCACTGTTAAGGCTGGGATGTGTGGATAGCCAGATGCCTGTGGAGTTCTGCAGTTGCTAGGTGTGTTGTTCCGAGTGGCATGTATGAGCAGTATTTACAGAAGCAGTATATAAAGGAGGTAGGCTGCCAAATACATTATTACAATATCCCAGGTGTGCATAACCCCAAAAAAGCAGCAAGTATTTACTATCCCATGTTACTAAAACCATTCCCTATGCTTGCCTGTCTCAGAGCCACTTTAGAAGCTGTGTGAACAAGTCTATGGCAAACTTCCTCCCCTGTCCTTGAGTATGTTTAAATATCCTATTTCCCAATCAGATGCACAAAGGTCTTACATTCTCCCTTGGAGAGAAATGCTAGTTCTTACAGTGTTGAATAAGAGATACCTCACCCAAAGAGGAGGTAGTGTCTGTATGTCCATGTTTCCTAGGTAAATACAAGGATGGATGGATGGATGGTTAGACTGTAGTTTTAGGTTCTTGAAAAGCTGTAGAACTCCTGACATCCCCTTTTCTGTGTCCTGGCTCAGAAGCAGATGCCTTGGCCACTCTGGACCAGCTGGCTGCAGCTTTCTCTGCCAGCTTGGACTCAAGCTGGAGCCCAAAACACCTAAAGAAACTCGCTCTGTTCCACATGGTTCATCCCCTAACCTCAGGAAACACTTGGAAAATCGTCCTATACTCCACCCTCTCTGCAGCTTTGCTGCAGATTACTGAAGGGATGACCCCATTGGATGCTCACCACTTACCACTTGGCTCTTCCTCTTGGAATGATCTGGGAAATCACCCCCCCCCTCCGGCAACACACACTATCTCCCCTACTGTGGCTCTTGGGGAAAGTCCAACCAGGGTCAGCCAGGATGGAACAGAAACTGTCACACTGAAAAGAACAACATATGCCACTTTCCACTCCTATCAGCAGCATGTGGAAATTCGTTGTCCCACAATGTCACTGAGGGGTATTACCTAAGCTCATCATGTTGTAGCCCTTTTTAATGGCCACTTCTCCAAGACCTATGGCTATGAACCAGCCTTCCCCATGCCCATCATGTGTATACTGTTCCCCCCCGTTCCCCCCCCCCCCGCCAGCACGGGGTTATCTATGTCTTCCTGAGGTACTCCTGAACTTTAAAGATCTTTATACGACTGGACATAAGCCCTCTGTTAGGTAATTATTGTATTCTGAATGTTGTCTCCCAGTCTCTGTCTTTTCATTTTCCTACCCCTAGCCTTTCAAAGGCTAGGTTTTAATTTTTGATGCAGCTCAACTTTATCACACTTGGCTCGAGATACTTCCACAAGGATGCAGCTTACACAGCAAAGCCACAGAATCAGTCACTTTACTGACGAACCAGGCATTTCCAGGAAAGCTCAGACAGAGCTGTCACCTCAACAGAGCTGTCACCTCACTACATCCATCAAATCCGGTTTTCCGATCCCAAAGCTGCTCCGCACGCACGCCCAGAGCTAGAGCCCTACGCGGAACAGGGAGGGCTCTCGGGTCTGCCGCCTAAAGGTCGCTCGCCTAAAGTCCTGCAGAGCCAGTGCCTACAGACAGCTCCGACCACACCCCGTACAACCGGACCCTACAACACCCGGCGACAGTGACGGAATGCCCAGTGAGGTCCAAGCGAGCTCTCCCTGGTCTCGGGTCATCCTGCACCCCGCGTGATGCTGATCTTGTGACTCTGTCCCACCTGGACGCGGCGGTGCAGCTCAGCGAATCCCGGAAAACTGCATCCCAGGGTGGATCCTAGAGTCTGCGCGGGAAACCGCACAACCACCAGCCTGGCTTTTCGGCCACGCCCACATCCCACCCACTCCCGGACTACGTGAGGCGCGTGCGCAAATTGGGCCTCGCCGCGTTGCCGTAGATACTGGAGACGCGCTCCCCTGGACAGACCGGCACGCTTCCGGAGCTGAAGGGGAGGGTGAGCAGCACGGTAGCCGGAAGTGCGTGGCCGCCGGGGCCATGGCGGCGCTCAGCGTCGTCTGGCTGCTGCTGGCAGCGGCATTCTGGCGGCCGGTCTCGGCTTCAGGAGAGGAGTTCTGGCCTGGCCAGTCGGCGGCGGACATCCTGTCGGGGGTGGCGTCCCGCAGACGGTAAGCGTGTCCGCGCCATCTCTGCCCGGGCATCTGGGACAGGATCAGTAGTGGGGCGGAGCAGCGGGGCCGGGGCTGCGCACTCAGACTGTATGGGCGAAGCTTGTATGGCGAAGGTCGCCCTGGCTTTGGTAAGGGTCTGAGCTGGCCGTCTACTTCCGAGAGATCTCTACCAGAAGGTCCAGGAGCGTAGATGGAGCCCCAGTGGCTCAGACGCCCTGTCCCGAGGCCAGTCTTGGCCCCAGCGGTAGGACAGAAGTAACTGTGGGCTTCCTCCGTGGCTGGTGTTCCCCAAACTGGAGAGCAAACCAGGAGTCTGGTGCAAGGAAAGCCAGTGAAGGTGTGCATGAAGACTGCCCAGGGTTGAATCTTGCTTTGTCGAGGGCCTAGAGTTTTAGAACCTACATCACTATTATTTGACTTTCTCAAGTATCATTAGTGTACTTTGACTTTCTCAAGTATCATTAGTGTACTATGGGGCTGTTTCCACCGGCAAACCAGGCCTCTGATATCACAGTGGGTTTAATGCAAAAACAGACCTGAGAACCCAGGTACCATCCGACCCTAAGTAGATTTTCCAAAATTAAAAGCATTACCATCCTCTCCACTCTTTTTATTTTGAAGATGATCATTTTTAAAAATAATCTTTGTTAATATAATGAGATTGTTATTTTTAAGTGAATGAATGAGCACTTCTAGCATTAGCTTCCACACAGAAATTGTCAATAGATTCAATTTGTAAACTAGACGTGTCCAACCTTTGCCCATTGGCCACACACATCTCAGGATCGCCATGAATGCAGCCCATCATATTTATTGATGACAACATTGTGCCTCATTGCCAAAGATGTGACATCTCTGAATAAACAGCAGTCCATTGGGGGCCCCCAGTAATTGTTCAGAGTATGAAGGGGTCTTTGGACGAGGCAGCATGGAAATAGCTACTGCACTGGTCTCAGGCTTGGCCTCTGAGCTTCCACTGATAGTGCTTGTTTGCTGTTGGCACTCTTGAGCTCTTCAGGTCATTGTTACATAGTAACTACCCTCTCTATAAGCCGGAAATGGGTGTTCTGTGAAGAGTCCTTACAATTCAAGATCTGTCTGTATCTTGCTCCCTGCTCAGGTACCTTCTGTATGATGTCAACCCCCCAGAAGGCTTCAATCTCCGCAGGGATGTCTATATCCGAGTAGCATCCTTGCTGAAGACACTGCTGAAGACTGAGGAGTGGGTGCTTGTTCTGCCCCCCTGGGGCCGTCTGTACCACTGGCAAAGCCCTGACATCCATCAGGTCCGGATTCCCTGGTCTGAGTTTTTTGATCTTCCAAGTCTCAATAAAAACATCCCAGTCATTGAGTATGAGCAGTTCATTGCAGGTGAGGTGGGCAGCAGGCTGGGAGGCTTTTCTAATGTGGGTGTCAGGTGTTCTGGCCCAGCCTAGCTGGCACTTCCCACTTAGCCCTGCTGTAGCGTTTGCTTCCATGGTTTCTCTAGGGAAGCAAGGCTGCATCCCCCCCCACCCCCCGTGTGTGTGTGTGTGTGTGTGTGTGTGTGTGTGTGTGTGTGTACATGTGTATACACTGACCCTCTGGGATTGCACCACCGTGGTGAGGGATTTGTAAACAGGCCCCTTACTTGATTATCCCCTCCTTCCACTTTTGAGCAGTGTCAGGCTTTCCTGGGTATAGGGGTATTTAGCGTTGACTGTGGCTTTGGTTGGAAGACAAACCCTGTCTTCTGTTGCACTAGAGGCAGGAGGGATTCATTTAGAGCCTGGCTGGTCCCAGTGGTGTACATCAGATCCTTTCTCCTCCATGACCTCTGCCCCTGCTCAGAACTGCTGTCTCAGGAGGATACATCCTCAAGGTGTGGTTCTCGTTCCCACATCGAATCACTATCGAACATGTCAGTCCTGGGAACATGGGAATACAAGCACTATGTTTTGTTTTTCATTCTGGCTGAAGATGCAAAGTCAGTAAATGCATGCTTAGAATATACCCTTTCCTAGCCCAGCTCCCAAACTTGCTTTTGGGTCCCACAAAATAAGGGCTGGAGTTGGGATTTTAGGATGCCAGACTCAGCTAAGATAGCCTGACCTTTGCCTGAGCTTCAGTCTCAGGTGCCTGAAGAAGCAGTCCATGCTTCTGTGGGGCAAAGCCATGGATTTCTCACTGTGGGAAAGGGATAGTTGGGGTCCCTGCCATTTAGTGTGACATCTGGAAGCATAGGGCTGATTCTCCTTGCCACCGAACCTCCCTCCTTCCAGCTGGTGTATGTCTGGGGAGGCCCACAGGGAAGAAGCCGGTGCCTGTGCCAGGCACGGGACTACCAGGATAAAGCAGTGCTGGGGCCAGCCCAGCACTTGGCACACAATCAGTGTGAGGGAACCTCTTTAGCTTGGGCCTCAGGCCTAACAGCCGCATGCAGGGTGAATTTGAAGACATAGAAATTGCCATAACTGGGGTCATCTTCTAAGCAAACATTCATTAGTACTTTGGATACGGCAGGTGGTTCTGGCAAAGTGATGGTTGTAACAGAGGACAGGGGGAACACAAACCTCCCTGGTGAAGTAGATGTGATGATAGGATACGCTGGGGGTCTTGAGGGATGGGAACAAGCTTTGGAGGGGATCCTACCAGCCAGGTCAACAAATGCTGGGGGAATACTGCAAGTAGCAGGGGAGGGTGAAGGTAGGCAGGCCTGTCCCAGTGTTAGGGGACAGTGGGGAAAAGTGCATGACAGAGAGGCCAAAGAGACTTCAGTGAGTTTCCCTGTCCTGGCCCGCATGCTCATGCCAAGCCTTCATGGCCTAAGGAGGCCTTAAATAAATCATAAAAGCCATTCATATGTGGTGCACAGCTGCATACGCGATTGTGGCCCCTGTCGTGTGGCATGTTCTCTGGGGTCTCTTTCAGAGTCCGGTGGGCCCTTCATCGACCAGGTGTATGTCCTGCAAGGTTACGCTGAGGGCTGGAAGGAGGGCACCTGGGAGGAGAAGGTGGATGAACGGCCCTGCATCGACCCTCTGCTCTACTCACAGGACAAGCACGAGTATCACAGGTAGCACTGGGTACAGGCCCCATGCGTGTTTCCAGAGCTTGTCCCCGAGCCCTCATACATTCTGGTGTAGAGCACCTCATGCTGTTAGAGTCTTTAAAGCACCTCACTAAGATAACCTTGCTTTTGTACATTACTTTTTGTGGTACCTAGTGTTCTGTGCATGCTAATCAGGCCCTCAGCCATTGAGCCCTGGTTCTTCTGTGTTCAAGACCGGTCTCACTGTATATCCGGTCTCACTGTATATCCCAGTGTGCTGTTTGACTCCAGATCTTCCTGTCTTAGCCTCCGAAGTACTGAGCTTAAAGTCGTGCACTGTGCCCAGCTCCGCTGACCTTTTATGTGCACTGAGCATGGCAGGGGAATGGTGGCCTTAGCCCCAAAGTCCTGGCTGTCATTTAGCAGCTTCCATGTGTGATGTGCTGGAGCCCTCCTAGGAGTTATTTGGAGAACATGGCTGTCTGGCTGAGGTGTGGCTTTTGTTACTTCTCTGTTACCCATCTCCTGTCCAGGACTAGGAAATGTTGAGTTCTGTGGGTTTCCTCATAGGTTTGTTTTTTTTTTTTTTTTTTTTTTTTTTGAGATAGGGTTTCTCTGGCTTTGGAGGCTGTCCTTGAACTAGCCCTTGTAGATCAGACTGGTCTCATACTCACAGAGATCCATCTGCCTCTGCATCCCGAGTGCTGGGATTAAAGGCGTGTGCCACCACTACCTGGCTTTCTCCTAGTTCTTACAAGAACCCAGTTGTCCATAGTGCTAGTCTGTGAGCCACCGAGGGAGGGGGTGGGGTCAGTAAAACTGTGCTCCTGCATGTGCATGCCCCTGTTTGTTCCTGGGGGAGAGCACAGAGGCTGACAGACGGGCTCTGTTTTCCAGAGGCTGGTTCTGGGGCTATGAGGAAACGAGGGGTCTGAATGTCTCCTGCCTGTCGGTCCAGGGGTCGGCCTCCATCATCGCACCTGTACTCTTAAAAAACACATCTGCTCGGTAAGTGCTCGGGCCTTTGGCTACGAAGGCCTTGTCCTTCACCGTCCCAGTACCTCACCAGGCCCCTCCCTGCACTCCGGCAGTCTGTGGGGTGCCCACTTCCACATTAGTGGGACTAGGCTGGGAGTGGGGTGGGGGAGCTGGAGGAAACTGTGTATCCTGGAAGAAGACCCCGAGAAGGAATCCAGTCTCGGGTTGTCTGCTATGCTCTGGCACCGTGGGTGTGAGGGCATGGTCCTGCCCTCTGAAGTCCTTACTCAGTAAAGCCACTTTACCCTGACACTGTCATCTGCTTCCTGTGCCCTGAGTGGCGGCTGAGGCCGTTGGAGGCAGGAGGCACTCATGGTTTCCTCTGAATTGCTCTTTGGGGTGCCATGAGGAGCCTAGGCTGGCTGGGAGTGTGGATGGTGGCCTGTGAAGAGGTGGCATGAACAGTTGCGGGGCTTGGGAGTGGCATCTGCTGGGCTTGAGCACTGGGGCTTTGGAAGTAGTGCCTCGTGCTGTTAGTCCTTTCTCTCCTGAGGGTTGGCGGTCAGAAAGTACACCCTGTTTCTGGAATCAGGAGGTTGCAGTAGGTGAGGGCAGCTGATCCTACTCCCCTTGGTAATAGGCATAAGGAAGGTGTCCACCAGGAATGGTTAGAGCCAGCATAAGAGCCTGTGAGGATCGTGTCCTCACATCTAGGGAGAAGCACCTGAGTACCATGTCCCAGGAACGCACTGCAGGTATCCTTGAAGCCACAGGTGTCCTTTCAGTTCTTCAGCAGCTAGCTGTGAGCATCGTGCTAGTCGGGGCACTCTAGGCACACTCCTGCTTTCAGGCTCCGTGTCACCTCCAGGGCCTCTGGAGCCATTGGCCATGATTCTGTCCAGAGTACACTGTGCTTAGCCTTGGCCTGGTCCAAGCAGCCAGCTGCAGTGGGCCTAGACACCGCAGCTTCCCTGCCACCAGGCAGCATGTTGTGGCTGGCTCTGGTTACATACGGGAGATGCGGTAGAGGGGACCTGGCCTTCGTTTCCTGGCTGGTGGGGTTCAGCTTTAAGACTCCCAAGACCACGTCCTGTGTATAGCAGTATGGGTTTACAGAGACTAAACAGTTCTGCCCCTGTGAGATGTATGATGTTATGGTCAGTTTTTTCTCTCGTGTTGAGGGGTTAGAATGGAGCTGAGCCCAGAGTAGGTGAGCTGTGCTTTCGGGAGCAGTGGGAGGGGTGCTGTGAGACACTCCTGCCCACTCCAGTATCAGAGCACCTAACTCCAGGTGGGTTGATGACCTTCTAGGCAGGAGAGCTGTGGGCTGTCAGAGGACCACCCCAGGATCTTGAGGTGGGGATAGCTGCTAAGCAAAGTATAGAAAACACTAGCCAATTAAACTATTATAAAATCTAGAAGTTTGGTCAGTGCCTACTAGAAACTGTGGAGGTGGGCTACAGAGAAGGCACAGTGGCAGCGGATTCCATCAGGAAGAGACTCTCCACAGTTGTGACTGTTCCTGAATTAGCAGGTGCATGACAGGCAGCCCATGGGGACATGAGCACAGGCAGCTTTGGCAGAGCAGGTGTGCCCCACCCCCAGGTCCCTAACACAGAGAGGCAGTTGGCTGACCAGCACTGCCTCTGGCAGGAGAATCTGGTCACATTGCTGAGGGCTTGGTTTAAGATTGTAGATCACAGACCTGTGGCACAGCAAATCCATACATCAGTCCATCCTTTCAGTAACTCTGTCTGTCTGTCCTCACACTTGCTAATGGCTTCCATGGCAACCCAAGCACTGCCCTTCAGTGATAGACGGGAATATGCGCTGAAACACTCAGTCCATCTATGCTGCTCGCCCAACAATGGAGCATCACCAGGCTGTGAGACATTCCACTCCATGTGAGCGAGGCTCAGCATCAAGCATGTACCAGGAAGTAGGCAGGGAAGTATGTAGGGGAATGATGTTAACCAGGCCTTTTGGGAAGCCCCTGGAAATGTAGGGGCCCATGTTCTTTTGACCAGTTTGTCTAACTGTACTTGTGACAGCACACACATCACCGTCTGTATTTTATGATCAGAAAACAGTGGTGTTTGAAAGTCAGAGGCAGCCACCAACTTTCCCATTTCCCTTTAGACACGTCCTTCTGCCAGACTCCTGAGTGTGGCTGTGTCATAAACATAGGTGGATGCCATCTAGGTATTCTCCACATGACTCCTTGTTCATTCCCTTGCTTAGCTGAGCACCTCGGGCATTGTTAGGACACATGGCCATCCCCACAATTTCAGCCTCTGCACTGATGGAAGTGAGTTCATGGAATCAGCCCATCCAGGGTTGGGCTGACTCCGGGTCTGAGCTGCTACAAATTAGAGCATTTTTATAGAGAATCCTTTATGCACATGTTGAGGAAGCAGAAATGTGGGGTTGTGCCCACAACCAAAATGTGGAAGTGCACTTTTTATTTATTTTTTTTAATTTATTTTATGTGCATTGGTGTTCTGCCTGCACATATGTCTGTGTGAGGGTGTCAGAATCCCTGGAATTACAGGTGGTTGTGAGCTGCCATACAGGTACTAGGAATTGAACTCAGGTCCTTGGGAAGAGCAGACAGTGCTCCTAACCGCTGGGCCATCTCTCCAGCCCCATGTAGGTGCACTTTTCATGGAGGTCATTTGAGCCGTTGGTATAAAGCTGGTCCCCATACAGAGCCCCAGTCTCTGTGACATGGGAGACTAAGGAGAAAGACTCTATGGTCTGCTTGTTTGTGTTTCTGACTGGGAATTCTTTGAAATGTTAGTCTATAAACCCTAAGTTTAAATATTTTACCCTTATTTTCTTTCTCTGTAGAATTTCTATTTTTTATGCACAGTTAAATGTATCAGCCCATTGTGGAAGGGTTTCTGGGTTCCTGTTCTACCCTGTGTCACCTCGGTGTCACCAAGTCCTTCAGGTTCTACTGTAGCATTTCCGTCTCCACGTTCCCCTACAGCTGAAATCTGTGGTGAGAGGAAAGGCTTTGGTGACAGGCTTACTTCCCCAGTCCCAAGTCTTGTCAGAGCAAGAGAGTAGTGTGAGCTAGAAGCATGGAGACCCACAGGGGTGGCCTCTTCCTTGAGTGAGGTGACTTCCTTTGTAAAAGGAGCAAGCATGTTCTTATGCCTGGTGGAACCCACAGCCATGTACCCTGTGTGAAAAGTGACAGATCTTTGGCACAGCCACCAGACTCCGGCAGTGTGCTCTTTAGTGCACTGCTGGGTTTTCTGCTAATGGTTCCTTCCTGTCTTCTTCCTGCTAGTCACAGCTCTGCAAGGCCTTGCCGGATGCTCCCATTTAGGGTTCCCGAGACTTGCACAGACTTGTGTAGTTGGGGCACGAGGCTTTCTTTCCCATTTGGTATTCGGGGAAAGTGCAAATGTAAACATTTTAACTCAAAATCGTTGAAGTCTTTCTGTTTTTTCACTTATTTAAATGCAGGTCTGTGATGTTGGACCGAGCCGAAAACCTGCTTCATGACCACTATGGAGGCAGAGAGTACTGGGATGTGAGTACCTCACTGTGGCCTTTGCTTGTCCTCACATTTTGAAAGCTTTACAGTCAACAGTAACTTTCAACCTTGCTAACTGGGCTGTTAGCTGTCATGGGCTGTCTGCTGTCACTGCAGGGCCTGCTGTGGTACTGAGTGACTCATGGACAGGGCGAGCCTCGGGTGCTCTGCTGAGCATGCAGTGCTCCATGCCGTAAACATAGTGGTCTTGCTACGGGTGGCATGCAACCCTTGACTTGTCCTTTCCACACCCATGGCTGCCACTTCTCCTTTGGTTAGGAAAGGGGACATTTTCTGCAGCGAGTCCTAACACCACGAACCATCTCTGCTTGGAGGTGGTAGCCTAGATGATTTTGAGGACACTGGCTGACCTGAGCAGGTGTCAGGCCAAGAGCAGCCACCCAGCTCCCAAAGCATTTGGTTTGCAACAGAGACATAATCATCCAGTTTGGTTCAGTTTAGGAAAAATGAAGCTTGAATCAGGCAAAGTGTAACGCTAGGAGCTGGGCAGACGCCGAGGTGATGAGATTGCATGGCATTGCTGGCCAAGGGCAGATGGTGCAGGCCAGTCTTGCAGCCTGGATAGGCCAGGCTCTAGGGCTGGCTATGGCAGGGGGCCCTCCCTGAAGTGGCCCTACATGGGCCTGTCCCCATTTCTGGGTGACACCACAGATGCCTGAATGCTAAAGGATTAACTAGAGGCCCTGTAGCTGGCGGTGGTGCAGGCAACAAGAGGCACGTAAGGACCCAGCTGGGAGGGCTGAGGAGCCTTGCCACTGGCAGCCTGTGGAAAGGTGGGAGATAGTGAGGTGGTGACTGCTCATTCATCCGAAGGCCACGTGACACTCAGCCCAGCCCTGTTCGTGCAGACCCGGCGTAGCATGGTGTTTGCAAAGCACTTGCGGGCCGTGGGAGACGAGTTCAGGAGCCAGCACCTCAACTCCACAGATGCCGCTGATAAGATAGCCCTGGAAGAAGACTGGACCAAGATGAAGGTACCTACCTGTGCTGCTCTTGGCTGAGAAGGAACTAGGGATGGGCTCAGCTCTTCAGCCAGCATGTCTGTCCTGTGGCTATTTCATTCCAGACATGAGTGACTCGCATTATCTGACCCCAGTCTTCAGAGATGGTAGGAGGAAGGCTGTGGGATCCAGGCCCTCCTGGACTATGTAGAGAAACGCTGTCTCAAGAATAAAAATATTTAAAGGGGGAGAGACTGGGCAGTGATGGTACACACCTTTAATCTCAGCACTGGGGAGGCAGAGGTAGGCCTCTGTGAGTTCAAGGCCAGCCTGGTCTACAGAGCGAATTCTAGGACAGGCTCCAAAGCTACAAAAAAAACCCTGTCTTGAAAACAAAGAAAGAAAAAAAGGGAATGTAGGGAGGGGGTGGGTGAGGGGGACTGCACACACACGACACGGGAACAGCCTTAAGCAGAAGTAGGCATTGAAAGAAGACTCGTCGGCATTTCCTATGGCCTGTGCCCAGCAGAAAGGAAACAGGCCCCTGCCTGCCCCAGAGATCCTCAGTCCTTTGGTCCATACTGTCCTTTCCTTGCTGTATATGTACTTTCTCCCGCAATGCTGGGTTTCCCTGTGTATCTTTCCCTTCCATTGGCATTGTGGGCACCTCTGCATTGCTGGATGTTAGGACTCACTGTACCTGTGTGGTCTGTGCTGGGGTGGTCTTGCTAGAAGAAAGTATAAATAGCTTTTCTTCTTTTCATTTTTTTCTAGTGGTTCCATTATGATTTTTATTTCAGTTGTGATTTTTATTTGTGATGTTTGATTGCTTTGTGGTCTTTTTATCAAGGCACCATTTCCCCCAGGAGACTGTGTGAGACTCTGGCCAGAGGGATACTTTCAAGGCCATGTTTGTCCCTCCACCTCCCAGGACACCCAAGAGAGATCTCCACATCTTTCCCCACACCCCTGTCTTTTGTAGGTCAAACTAGGCTCAGCGCTTGGTGGCCCCTACCTTGGAGTTCACCTGAGAAGGAAGGACTTCATCTGGGGCCACAGGGATGATGTGCCCAGCCTGGAGGGAGCCGTGAAGAAGATCCGCAGCCTCATGAAGACTCACAAGTTGGACAGGGTGTTCGTGGCCACAGATGCCATCAGGAAGGGTAGGCAGTTCAAAGGCCAGACTCTGTGAGGCCTCTTCCCCTGGCTGAATGCTGGGTAGGTGTAGGGGTTCTTTGTGACCCTGGATGGTGCACCGGTTCCTTCTGGACAGTCAGTGGCCTCCCCTTTGCCTCGCAGAGCAGGAAGAACTGAGGAAGCTACTACCAGAAATGGTGAGGTTTGAGCCCACGTGGGAGGAGCTGGAGCTGTACAAAGATGGAGGTGTCGCCATCATTGATCAGTGGATCTGCGCTCATGCCAGGTGCCTGTCTGCCTTGCTGCGGAGGGGGCTCTGGCTCCTTTCTGAGGTTCTTGTTGCCCTTGTTGCTCCTGTACTCAGCAGTTGAGCATGTGGCTGTGGCCGGCCACCTGCTTCGTCGCTCTCTGAACTCTAACACCCAGCCCAGTCTCCTTGGGCTGCTGCGAACCCTTCAGCAGCGGACCCTTCAGGTCTTCTATGCACACACTGTCCATGGTCTACACCCAGACCTTTTCTGCTCCTGTCTGTCCGAGAGAGGTACCCTGCCCAGGCTGCTTGGCCTCCTTGGTCTGTTTGTGCTGCTGAAGCAACACAGGGCTGCCTGAGGCCAAAGGCCTCTGTATCGATGCTCTGGGAAACCATGAGGGCTGCTGGCCTTGCAGCACTCCTTTGTACGTCGCTGTAGGCACCTGGGGGTGGGCTCAGGTTAGAATGTCCTGAGTAGAATGGGAAATAAGGCAGTGTGTGCAGAGGTGCTCAGAGTGTGCCTTTAGTGCTGGAGGGCTAGTGTGTGCCCCCATGCTCTGTTCCTTCTCCCTCCGTGACTGCTGCTTTCCTGCTGTGTTCTGGCCTCTGCAGTTCCTGCTGGCACCATCCCAGCACCAGGGGCAGGCAGGTGAGGGCCCCGTTCTTGATCTCTGTGGGTCTAGCTGCTGCTCCCTTGCAGGCATAACTTGCACAGTGTGCATGATGGGAAGAGCCAGGCCATTCTGTCTCTTTCCCTGTCAGAGTTCTCTGAGGAGGCTCTGAGCTTGCCATTTCTCTCTGCCTGGGGCCCTTCCCAGAATCCACTAGACCCAGGCTGTGTCTCAGGAACTGACTGCTGTTCTCAGTTCAAGAAGGTACTTCATACAGCCGATTGCTGTTGTCTCTGTCATTGGCACAGCCCGCTACTTGCCTCCACAGGTGGGGTACACCGTTCCAGGAGTCATGTCATGTAGCAGTTCACAGGTTCTCTTGGATCAGCTGGTCACTAGGTGCCATCAGAGGGCCAGGGTACAGGAGCAGGGCAGACTGCATCCTTTTCACCCCAGGAATCTGAAGGACCCTGGAGAGGGGACTCCCATAGCTATGACAGCATGCATGTAAATAATCCCTGCCACTGTCACTGTGTCAAGATGGACAGAGTCCTTGGTGTTTGCTGTGTAGCCAGGTGGAGGTCTAGCATCTGTAGTGGAGAGAAGGGGGTGTCTGCAAGGCAGAGTGGGTGCTAAAGCATGCAATGACCCATGAAGGGTGCCAGCACTGAGGGTGTCAGAGTCTCGTGTGCGTGCACGTGTGTGTGCGTGTGTGTGCATGCGTGTGTATGGGTGTGTGTGTGTGTGTGTGTGTGTGTGTGTGTGTCTATGTCTAATCAGTCCATTGCTGCTCCCAGCTAACCTCTCATTACTCTGCAGGTTTTTTATTGGCACCTCAGTTTCCACGTTCTCTTTTCGGATTCATGAAGAGAGAGAGATCTTGGGATTGGACCCTAAGACAACATACAACCGGTTCTGTGGAGACCAGGAGAAAGCTTGTGAGCAGCCCACACACTGGAAGATTGCATACTGAGGGCCACCTCTCCGCCACCTGCCGGTCACTCGGTCACAGGGTCCCAGAGGGGGCAGCACTCCTAAAGCCTGTGTTCCTTTGTGTTCACGGGCTGACATCTGCCTGTGTCTAGGCTCTGCCACCTTCATGTTTCACAAATGTGTCTTCTATTAGGACTTGAGAACCCATGTCCCCATCACGATGTCACATGCTAGCCCAGAAGCGTGAGGAATATTTGTCAGTCCTGACAGACCTTTCAGTTGCTTTTCTGAGCAAGCAGAGAGTGGCAACACCCTCTTGTGTGGATCCTGAGATGTTGGTATAACATCTGTCTACTGAGGTCCAGTGTGAGCAGATGCCAGGTTTTGCCTCACCCTCTTCCTGCGTGGTGCCCCAGCTAATTTCCTCCTGAGGCCGATGGCTCAGGCGCTGATCTCACAGAATGCTGGGAACCTCAGGACAGCCCTTGGGTGGCCAGTGACTCCCTCACCTCACATGGGTTCCCAGGCTCGTTGCACCCTGCTGAGAAATAGAATTGAGAAGTGACAGAAATGACCTTCAAAAGGTCACATCCGAGACACACCACTGCTTTATGAGACCCTTTCCTGGCCCTCATGCTGCACTATGGGAGGCTGAGTCAGCACAGCCTTGGCCAGGGCACTCCCAGGTCCTTGACCTGGTACTCATCAGTACACCCCATTCCCCAGTGCTGTGCACTAAGCAGCCCCCACACAGCTACTGCCCAGGTCTCCTTCCCAAGCACCAAGGGACCTGAGCACAGACAAGGTACTGTGGCTCACCTGGCTGATGAGGTAGAATCATGTATTTATTCTTTTCCATTTGTACATCCAAGTATATTAATAAAATACTTTTTCAAGAAAGTTGTGGAAATGGTGCCTTTAAGTGCTTTGTTCTCTTAGGTCAGGAGCTGTCCCATGTAGACAGCTATGCCTTTCAGGAGAGTGAGGGCTTGTGCGTGTGATCTGGCCCGGTGCAGCATAGACCTTTGTTGGATCTGCAGAAGGCAAACTAGCCAGGTGTGACAGGATAGCGCAGTGTGTCCTGGAGCCTGGAGTTTGGTTCTGGCCATGAGGACCAGCACAACCTTGTCACTGTCCACTACAACCTGGCTCTCTTTGTTGGACTGTCTGTTAGGATTGTTGAGGGGAAGCACTCTCCAACTCGAGGAAACCTGGTGAGCCATCTTCTGGACTCTGAGGAAATGGCAGTATGACCTTCATGGGATTTGTACTTTCTGAAGAGTGGCTAGTTCATTTGATGGAAGCAGTGGCAGGTGCAGCCAGGAAAGAAGACGCAGAGCCTCCTGCTCTACAGTGACAGCCAGCGACGAGAACCTAGGAGTGCAAGCTGAGGCAATGGAGCGATGTGCTGGGCCACGTCATCTCAGGGTGGTGTAAGAACCAGTAGCAAGTAAGAACCAGTAAGAACCATGTAGCAAGGATCTAAGCTGGCCACATGGAGCTCTGATGGAGAGCAACTAAGAGGCTCTGCATGGCCTGCGTGAAACATGGGTGTACCATTTGATTTCAGCAAAGAACAATGGAATTGGTTGGTTTCTGAGCCAGGGGACACAGCAATGCCTGGTGCTATGGGCAGCAGCATTTCTGGGCAAAGCTGGGGGCAGTCTTATGAAGTTTTGAACCAGTCTACTGGTAGCCTGACTGGTTGCTGTGATAGCCATTTGTCACAGGAATATTGGTTAGCCTGCAGCTCAAATCCATACAAAGTTAGATTGCAGTTCACCCTGAACAGGGACAGTTCTAAAACAAGTTCAACAGAAGACCTGGGAGACAGCCATGTCCAAGAGAACCCAGGGCCAGAAGTCTACAGCTGAGAGCCGATGGGGTCATTTGTGCCAGTGTTATTTTATTGGGGCTGAGGATACTAATACTTGCAACTCGGATGTGAACTGTAGCTGTGAATTTTAGTGGCTGCTTGTGCCAAGGCACATACCACAGATCCCCTCTGCCCCAGCTGTCACTGCCAGGGTGCCCTTTCCTTAACAGTGAGCCTGACCTCCAAGTCCCACTGGTACAGATGACACTAACAAGGCAGGCATGGCTGGTGTCCTAACCATCACATGGCTGGACACATAGATATGTCCTGCTGGGCACTAGTCTACACTCAGCCCTCACACTTTATACAACTTGCTGCATGTATTTTCAATGCCAGCTGGGAGCTTACAACTTGCCCACCATCCATTTTTCCTTGCTGTCAGATGTGGCGAGATGAGCACAGCATCCATACTGGCCTGGGCTGTTACCTCAATCAGTCAGGGTAGGGGGTCCTTGGTGGACTCTGTGACTTATGAATCTGTACTGTGTTTGGAAGCCTATGCCCAAAGCTGTCACCTGCTGGCAGTCTCCAGGCACTGGCCATGTATCCAGCATTATGACCTTGACTCTGCCATCCTGAAGTCCAAGTCCCAAAGAGAAAATAAGGATCCTAGGACACCGTATCCCACATGCAGCAGGAGGCAAGGCTTCCTGCTCTAAATAAATATGGCAATGCTGAGGATAAACTGGACCTGGGGAACTGAGTCCTTATAAGTCACAACTGAGAAAGGCCAGTGGTCAGGAAGAACAACAGGGCTATGTGGTCTTTGGTGCCACCTGTAGTCACACCTGGAGTCTGTCCAGAATAGCAGGACATTGCAGACAAATGGAGGAACCCACAATGCACCAGCACCAGCAGTGCCATCCAAGCTGGCATCACAGCAGAGACCAGCCCACTCAGGGTCTCTGTGCAGATGACAAGTGGCCATCCTTGGTGAAACCACAGGGCAATTTGTTCCAAGGCAGCGGCTAATTGGGACACCTAAGACTATAAATCAGACACACATACTGCCCAGAACATCTGGGACTGTGGCTTCATGGCCCCTGAGGAGCTGTGCTCATCCATTTTGAGAAGAGGTTTATTTAGCTCACAGCTTTGGAAATGTCATGGTGCCAGCTCCATGAGGCCCCAGCCTCGGCTGCAATAGCTCATGGGAGCTAGCCATGCCCAAGGAAATAGAATCATACCACCACACAGAGTCTGGGAGCTGGGAGGGACTGAGCTATGGCTCTCAGGACCCTCTCAGAGGGTGACAGAGGCTCCTTAGAGTTGCCCAGCACCTCTGTGAACAATACTGAGTCCAGAGAACCTACCAGTTGGACCTAACTCTACATACCCCACCACTTCCCATGGTGCTGCCAACTTGACAGCGAAGGGCACTGGGAGTGAGGGCATGCCCAGCCACAGCAAGAGCTAAATTTAACACTGTCCTCAGATCCATACCATACAGAACCACGGCCCTCATGGTTCCAGGAGACACTTCAAGACCTTGGGGGCTGTGTCTTTCTTCTACCTGGGTCATCCATCCCCCATCGGGGGCTAATGTAGGTAGCCTTGCTGCCAGCTTTTAAAGTAGGACTTGGGAGGGAAGGGACACAGTATACTCAGTCACAGAACCAAGACAAACCCCAGAACAACAGGAAAACAAAAGGGACTCCAAAGGGACAAACATGTGACAGATGAGAGACAAGAGCCTCAACCAAAACTTACCCCTGGAGCTTCAAGATCCTGGAATGCAGTACCACCCCATCAATGCAGTCCTTGGCTTGTGAGTGGCATCTTCTCCATCCCCACAGAACCATCCCTTTGTCCAGTCTCCTTTGTGAGAACATAGTTATGTTGGATTTGGCTTGCCCTGGCCACCTCAATTTACTGTAGTCAGCTCTGTAACAGCTCCATTTCCAAACAGAAATGTGCAGATGCAGTAGCGGTTAGGGCTGGGTTCAGCAGTAGAGTTTGAGAAACCACTGAGCCCTGATCCCTCACATTGCCTACATGCCACTCGTGACTCCAGAACAGGGCTGAGCCTTCTCAGAGCCAGCTCATCCTGGAGGACAGAGTAACTGGACCTGGAGCCTGCATGGTGGGGAGTCACTGAGGTAGTTTGGTCTGAGGCAGGACATGTACCAAAGAGACCTGCTTTCCAGAGCTGGGCTGACTGTTAAAGCCACTGCCTCACTCCCCATCTACCCTCTGTGGGGTCCACTGGGAGGGCAGGGGTCTGTGGGGAACTGGAATGACCCTGGTTGCTCGCTTCAGGGGGAAGTGGGCAGGAAGCACATTTGGGGACTGCATTGGGTCACACCTTGGTGGCTCCAGGGCCATCTGTCTCAGCTGTGTAGCCATTACTCCTTGCTGCCACATCTGTGAACTAATGGAGGCTGGAGGCTGCAATAAATGGCCTGTGACAAATTCCACCCTTGGCTCTTAGGAAAGGGCTTTTCGGGACAAGGAAGGGCTCACTTATCTTGTAGATGACTGTCCTCATGCCACACAGAGGGTAGGCCCACAGAACACATAGCACCATCAGCTCTCCCTGCCTCAAAAGGAGCACAAGAGCCCTGCTACCCCTTGAGGTCTGGGGGTGGCAGCGCCTCCAATCTGTCACATCTAGAACATACACCTGCCTGCACTTTATTATTATTTTAATTATTTGGGAACCTAACATCATGTGCCTGATCACACTCACTTCCAGTCTTTCCATGTTCCCTCCTTCCCCTGTGACTCCCCCCCCACTCCCGACAAAAACAAGTTCATTTTGTGTTGTCCATATATTCACTGGAGCATGGTCAAATTCCTAGTGGCCAGCCCCTCAAAGATGAGTCTTTTCCTGCCTGTGTCGATGTCAGAAGCTATCAACTGAGGAAAGCTGTTTGGCGGACAGACTGGACGGGGCTAGCTTTCGTGCACACAGACCACTGCCTGCACTGCAGTGCTGTGGCCTGGTGAGGAGTAGAGCCATCTCTCCTGTGAGGGATGGGGCTAGCTCTCCCACATCCAAAGACATTAGCTTGTGGAACCCTGGACCCCCCTTGCCTGGTACACCAGGCAAGCTGACCTCAAACTTACAAGAAATCCACCTCTCTCTGCCTCCTCGGTGCAGGGATTACGGGTGTTGGCCACCATGCCTGGCTAGTTTATCAGCTGTTGGTGGCCAGAAAGTCTTGATTGCTTTGGAACTACCTACAACACAACACCTTGTTTGTGTGTGGGGGGGTTGCTTTAGAGATCATTAGTTTTTGGAGAAGCATAGTAAAAATCATAAAGATGTACATGTACCATGGCCCAGCAAGCCTGTCCCTGGGACTTCAGCTTCAGAAATGGAATCTGTGGGCTGGAGAAATGGATCAGCACTTAAGAGCACTGGCTGCTCTTCCAGAAGACCCGGACCCACATGACAGCTCACAATGGTCTGTAACTCCAGTTATAGGGGATCTGACACCTTTACACCAATGCACATACAATAAAGTTGAATTTTTTAGAAAAAGAAATGGAATCTGGCTTGTCTACTAACTAAAAAATTATACAGGGTATTGGCATTGCTCACAATTGCCCACCATAACTAGATGGTAAGACTGCTGAAGACAGCACTCACCTTGGATGTAGGGCATAGCGACTAACCTCTACTGATTGGCTATGAGGCTACTCCACAGGCGAGATCTCATGCCTGCTTCTGTACCTGGACAAAAGCCCATGACTAGAGAGATCATATGTCCTGCAGGGTAACCTGTTATTGCTATTTAATAATTATTATTGCTATGTTAAGTGGTCATGCTGTCAAACTACCTTCTAAATATTTATGCTTATGCCCATAGATTTGTGCTTTCAGCCTTGGTCAGAAAGGCTTCTAAAGCAGGGCAGTGGGACCTTTAGTCCCAGCACTCAGGAGGCAAAGGCAGGTGGATCTCTGAGTTTGAGGTCAGCCTGGTCGACAGAGTGAGTTCCAGGACAGGCTCCAAAGCCATACAGAAAAACCTGTCTCAAAAAACCAAAACAAAAAACCCGTTTGCTCTACCAAAATCTG